GCGGTGCCGTGCCAGGCACCATTGCCACCGGTCTTCTCTTTTTCTATTTTTTTATTTTTTTGTTTTATTGTATTTTTATATTTTTTTAATTTTTATTATTGTGTTTAATAATATTATTATTATCTTATTTATTATTTAATAAAAATAACAAATTTGATCAAGGCCAGACAATTTTGATGTCTACACCAGCTACCATGCTAGGTTGTGTCACTCTAATAATTCATTTCATTTGTTTTTTCCCTCTTGGCTAGTACAGTAAATAACTTCATTCCTACAATTAATTGAACATTACTTCTCCAAAGACAAGTTTTTAGGTTTAACCATCAATAATAAGCAAATAAATTAATTTGCCTTACCACTTTAATTTTCCCTAACAAGGTTAACCCGATTAGAAGGAATGATATATATTAATGTTTGAATCTAGACTCGTTGAATGTTATTTCTTAAAAGTGATCATATGAATCAACTAAACTAAAGTTGTATTATTTGCTTTTTTTTACTAAGTAAAAAAAGTGTAGATGAAAAATTGAATAAAAGCTAAATTAGTAGTTGATCTACTGATAATATACAAGTGTTATGCACTGTCAATCAATCATATGGTGACACAATATTAATAAGTAAAATAAAAAAATAGTCAACTCCTTTAAAAATAAATATTAATAAATTATACGATAATTTCATTATATTTATTTTTAAGAACATGATTTTTTTTCAATGAAATGTCATTGTATAATTGATTGACATGCTATAGCATTTTACATAATATTAACTCATAAAAATTTGGGTGTCATGCTTCCTTTTTTCTTTTTACAAATGCTTGAAACTTTGCATATACCTATTCAATTCAACCAAGCAAAATAGCTCTATTTCATTTGTTTGATAAAGAAAACCCTTTCAACAACCAATCATATTTCATTCTTTTCCACCATTTTGATGAATATTAATTATGCTAAAAGTTCTTTGTCATAAGTCTACGTAGCCTTTCCATTAACCCAATAAAAAAAAACCCTAGTAGCTATCCATGCATTAAATCTTTTTGTTGCATTGTAAAGATCCAAATTTTCTAAAGGCTCTTTTATTTCCCACCACCTTTTCTGTCACTTAATATATAGTTTTTATTTTTTTAAGGGAAAAGAAGTTTACAAAAAAGGGGGGGGGGCTGATCAGTGATGACTTGATATCTCTTTAAGGAAAGCAAAGCACTTGTTTCTCTCATTGCGTACTTGAAAAAGTTTGTATCATTTTCCTTGACAAAAAGCCTCCAATTATTTAACCACATTCAAAAAAGTTTTGGTCAAAGATCCATTTTTCTCCTTCCTATTGAATCTCCTTAAACCAATCATGCATTCTTCTTTGCACCTTTTTTTTTTTTGGGAGGGGGGGTACCATTTTGGCTCATAAAATTATATTAGGGATGATGATTAAAATAGAGGTTAACGCAAAATAAGTATAAACAAATAAAAGAAATGCATTTGGCTTTCCATAAAAACTTTTTTTATTTTTTGGTCCAAAGGAAGTACACAAAACATTGTTCATCATCATATGCAATAGTTACTGATATTATGTGATTAAAGTATTAAAAATATTTATGAGGGATAAAGATTGAAATTGAAAAAGGATCGAGTCTAAAAATCACTGGCTTTTAAATATTTTTCTTTTTCATTTTTGGTTGACACGATTAAATTCCAGGATTTTAATTAGCATGATCATTGTTGCTTTTGATCCTTTCGTATAAAATTGTCATATAAAAGATTCAGGAAAGAAACTATAATATATAGCACACTCAATTGCACGTATATTAAATTGGATTGATTTTGTATAGTTCTTATTTCATAAAGAAAAATGAAAAAAAAAATCCAAAATTGGATTGATTTTGATGGTGAGGGTGATTTTCGTGTAAACAGCAAGCACTTTAATTTTCAAACCACATTTTTACCTTCTTTTTCTACAAAGAAATCGTAATATGAGAATGAAGACAACTATTACAAAAGTTAGGATTTAAATCTTAAATTTGTTAGATATTGTCATGCAAAGATAGTTGCATACTGAGCTAAATTTCTTTTAAGTATTTTTAAAATACATGATTTTAGCAAAGTATTTTTGCATGTTTAATGCAAAGGTAATTTATGCAACAGCTAGCTTTTTTATTAACAGAGTGTTAATCTTATAACCATTATGCTTGATAATTTGCAACCTTCAGGGCCATATATAAATATATATAGCAAAAGACAGTGAATTCCAATCTAATATCAATAATCATTTTAAAAAAACCCAACATTCCACACTCATTTTAATCAATCGATCCTTAAGTCACTTTATTTTTATTGTTATTGAGTTGAGAAGATTTCGAAATTTGATAATTTTTTTTTAGTGCACAATCTTAATTGTAACGGCTTAAGGGGGCTTGAGCAAGCTCTCCAAAGATTGAGTCCTTACCTGAGCCCACTTAAGCTTGCCCCAACCGACCTTTTTTGTAATTTGTAATTAAATGTGATTAACTTTTTTTAAGAAAAATCTGGCGTTGGTCCATAAAAAAATAAATATTGAAATCTGACCTAGTTTAGTGCGAATCAATTCACCAAAAACATGGATTTTAGTAATGTATTGTCTATAGCACATGAACACAATTTTACGTCACGTGGTATTTTTTAAAATTTTTTATAAATATCTTTTTGATATGTTATAAATATTTTTTAAAAAAATTATTTTTTAGAAGTGTGTCTCATTTTTTTTTCAAGATTTAAAATTTATTTTTGATGAGATTCATTTGACACAAAGATATGCCATACGTTTTTATTATTTTTCTTTTTTTATATATTTAATAAATATTTTTTAGATTTTAAATTTTGTTTGTCTCACAAACTTGATACTTATATATAAAATTATTTTCTTTCTTTTTAAAATTTTTTTCAATTTTCTATTTAAATTTCTTCCTTTTTTTTTCTTTTTTTTAAATATTAAAATTTTTAAAGTGTTTTAACTTTTTTATGTGGATCTCATTCGATATTTTGGATTAAAAAATTATTTTTATTATTTTTGGTTTTTTTATTTTTTTATTTTATAATTTTTTAAAAAATAATATTAAAAAAAACTCATCAATGCTGTTGTTGAGTGCCAACTCGATTTTTTCATTTTTCATTTTTATTTTTTTGCTTTTTTGTTATTCTTATTTAAGTTATTCTTTTTTCTTTTTTATTAGATAATTTTATTGAAAAAGCTAACAATTGTATACACGTAACACTTGATTTCAGTTTTATTGTTTTTACGATATTTTTTGTTTATATTTTTAATCACTAAGGTATATTCATGACACTCAATTTCATTTTTTTTGTTTTTTATTCTTTTAATAATATAATTTACAATAAAATAAATCATTAAATAAATTTTTAAAAAATATATTAATGGATGTATAAATAACAAAACAACGAGCATTCAATGGGTTTTGATTCTTCTGGATTTGATAAGTGTATTTTTTTTTTTACTAGAGATCCAATCAATATTTTTTTCATAAAATCAAGATCAATAGAAGATATGTTTATCATCTAACCTTAACTATATATACTAAATATATTTTTAATTAATTATTTAATTATATATATGTGTATATTATATTAATAAAAATATTATTTAATATTTTACTTTAACAAAAATATTATATTTATGCATAAATAAGATTTAATCTGTCAATCTATCTATCAATTTAATAAATTTAACTTATTTTTACTTTTGTTTGACCCTCATTTAAGGTCCAACATATTATCTTTTTTTTTCCAATTCTTTTGTAATTTTTTAAATTTTATTAAATTAGATAAATTTTATTAAAAAACCCATGTAAGTGTTCATGGCACTCAATTTGCCTTTTGTATTTCATTTTTTTAATTTTTTTAATTAAATTAATTTTGTAATAAAAAAACTAATGATTGAAAATAACAAAACAATTCATATATGATAAGTCCTACTCAATTACAATGTTTAAATAGTATTTCAATGAGCTTTTTTTATATTTTTTATTTTTAATATTTTTTCTTTCTTTCTCTTTTTTATTAAAATAATTTTGTGAAAAAATCTCAATACGTGACATTTCATTTTAATTTTTTTTTTGTTTTTTAATATTTTTTAATTAAATAAATTTTGTAAAGAAAGATTTTAATTGATACAAATATAAAAATAATCTATATTCAACGAATTTTGATTTATCTTTATTTGTTAAGTTATAAATTTTTTTAAATCGATATTGACTTGAGATAGATCAAGTTTTTTTTTTTTTTTAAATAAATGAGTTCGAGTTGTAAGTGTATTTATAGTATTTTTTAACCCATTTTGAAATATATATATATAAAAGTATATATTTTATTATTTATTTAATTTTATACATATAGGCCATATTTGGTATATATGATTATAATTATGATAAGATATTATAAATAATATTATGAATAAGATTAGATTAAATAATATCATCATATCTTATATTTGATATGTATAAGGATTAAAATAAAATTATTTATTTATTGATCAAAATTATTTTTTTCAAAGTTTATACTATTTAAATTATTAATGTAATTTTTAAACGTATAATAGAACATGTAAATTTAATCTTATTGATTAAAAATAATCATCTACATTTTGAGAGGATTGAATTATTATATATCAAGAGGATATAATCATCATTGTAATCATATATCTTTCAATTAGATATAAATCAAATATAATACGTAATAATTATCATATTATTTTATTAATCATTTTATATATCAAATATGACTATAAATATATTATATTAATAAAATTATTTTTTATCTTAATTTAAGAAATTAATATTCTAAACTTAATATGAGATGTTAATGTATCATCCTTTGTGAACATTTTTTTGAGTTTTTATTTGTTTTTGGTATTTATTTTTTTATTGAATAAATTTTATAAAAAAATGGCGAAATAAGATACTCATATATTATTTCCGTTTGTTTTTTTAATTAGATAAATTTTATCTTTATTTTTTTAATTAAATAAATTTTGAAAAAAAATCATTAATACAGATGACAAAAACAAGTTTTGTTCGACTCACCGCAAGGCGGGAACATTTTTCTATTAAGACAGAGCAGTCAGTGAATTTTTTCAGTTTGCAAATGCAAATGGGCAGCTTAGGGTTTCGTTCTCCCCAATTCTCCGAGGTAAAAACTTCTCCTTTTTTCCTTCAATTTATTTCTTAGGAATATAAAAAATAAAAATTCCTCCTTTAATTATATCTGCTTTTTATGATGATTCATAACCGGCAATTTTGAATTTAAAAAAAAAAAAGTTGTTGTAATAATAGGAATTGGCTTGGCTTCCGGCTTGTCTTCAACGAATCACGGACACCTCAGTGGAGCCCAAAAGCCCTTCTCACCAACAATTTAAGGTTTTTTTTTTCTTTTTTTTTAAAATTATGATTAATTTTTACAAATTTTAACAATTAGTACTTATTATTATTTTTTATAGTTTTTTTTTTTTCCTGGAAGAAGATAGTTGTATTTTGATTGGTTGAAATTTGAAATTCTTATGCATAGAATTTGATGAAATTATTTTTTATTTTTTATTATTTTTAATTAGGAGTTTTCATGTATACAAGGAGAAGATTCGGAGTTGTTGTGGAAGGAAGAAAGTCGATGTAGTAGTTTTCGGTTATTCTTGTCCGGAGAAGACAATTCGCCGATTAGTTCTTTTCTATCTTCCAATGGTGTAAGTTGTTCTATTTATGCTATATGGAATTAGCACGGAAAATAAGGAGTTTGACTTCCAGAAGGAATTTTATCCGAGATAAACTATTTCTGTGAAATTTTTGTCCGTTTGACTAGCAAAAGGAATTTTTAACTAATAACTGTTGCTCATGAGATATATTTGCATTTGATGTTAAAGTTTGTTAGTTGCATTGAATTCTATGAATGGAATGTTGCCTAAACAGAATTTGTTATGAGACATAGGTGCTTCATTTTCATCTACATCTCTCATCAGATGGTGATTCACAGTATTACCAAAGTCAACTTTTAAGTACATCTACTGCTCAGCATGGCTCTGATAAAGTTCTGCAATTACGGCATGTTGAAATTTCAGCTGGAAGGGGAGAAAATACTGACCAAATAAAAACGAAAAATAATGCTGGTGGGGTAAATGCCTTGCCTATGACTTCCATTCCAAGAGCTGCCGAGAATGTTGGTCCACAATCATCAAATCATGTCAAGCTTTCCAGTGAGCGTTCTGTAGAAAAAGTCACCGTCAGAAACCTCAAAAGTACTGATATTAAAGATGCAGTCGAACTCTCTATTGCTGCATCAGAAGCACTAGTGATACATGAATTAGTGAAGAGTGAGTCAGCTTTAGAAGCTTTCCCTACAGCAGCAGTACTTGAAGCTGCACTTCAGGTTAAGCAAGCACGCTTGGATAGCTCAGAAGATGCATTTGATTGCCCAACCGAGAAAAGTGATGAGACGGACTTTCTTTCGGACTTGGATGATTTAACCATGGCTGATGCATTTGAAGATGTAGGACTATCTTTCAATGGCTTTGATGATCAGCATGCCTGTGGTTCAGATGTATCTCTAGTTAAAGATACTCCTATGTCTGAAAATTGTTTTGGGTGTGAGAATAGAACCGAAAATGCAGGACATTTTTCTCTTCAGAATAAACCTTCTAATAATCCAACTTCTGGCTTAAAGAACTCTGGTTTTCCTAACAATTCTGATCCAATGTTGCATAAGTTGTTCCTGGAGAGTTCACATGTTTCAGAAACTGTGCAGGTAAAAGACATAAAAATCTTATCTTCTATTGACTTCCCCATGCTACTCTCTATAAAGAAGGAAAGCAGATATGCATAAAGATTTTCTTTCCCCAAATACTTAGTGGTTAAATTTAGTAAAGATGGAACCCTAGGATTTTTAGATACTGGAGTGACTTTCTAGCATCTTACTTAGGGATGACTAGTTCTATTACACTTACAGAGAGTTGGCTTTTCGATGGTGGATGCTTCTATTCAACCTCAGGCTGATTTCAATTGTTCTGATTTATGGAATGTGGAGAATGCTGGTGAGAAAGTCTATTTTGTACCCTATTTTCACCTTTTTTTCTTCTAAACAAATAACTACCTATGTTTAAGTCCATTCTATTTCCTCTGTTTATCTGCAGCAGGGGAAAGTAATACAAGTACGTACATTGCTAATGGTTTCAGAAGTCGTTGGTTCGGTGGTTGGACAGGGAAGGTATGTGCTTCATTTTATTTTATTGATGTTTGAATCTCGCTGGCACCCTTTTGTCCTTTAGATTGATTTTTAGTTTGTATATGCTGTCTTATAAATGCCAAATTTTCTGGTGTAATAGAGAGGGGGAACACAGGATTTTAACTCAGATCACATTTTGGAGGATATAATTGTAGCCACTGTATTTTTTCTGCATGGTAATTTATCAAAAATGAGTATTCTTGTTTTTTGGTAGTATTCTCCTATCAGATTCAAAATTGCAGGCCATCTACAGAGTGAGAACTTTTTTTTTTTGGGGGGGGGGGGGGGGGAAGGGGGCTGGGGAAGTGAAAATGATACTTAATCAGAATTTAAGAATCAGGAGCTTCAGAAAAATATGTAGCGTCTTTGGTTAGAAGGAGCAAATAGATAATGTCATAAAAATGTGGTTAATGAGATGATTTGACAATGTTTTATGTGCCCAATATGCAATGTAACTTTGCTGTTGCATGTCTAGCATTCATCAATCTTTAAATGAGTCAAGTTATGGAGATATTAGATGCTTTGAATTTCTTTAATTTTCCAAACATTATACATACTGCTAATGCTTGCTCTGCTCATGTTAACTGGCTTTATAAACATGTCATATGCTTTTTCTGCACTTTTTGTAGATACTACTTTTGGTAGTTTTGCTTTATTTAATTTTTGAGGTTTTATTCACAGCATTTTCTGCTTAAGTTGGTAGTGTACTTGTTATTGTAGTTACTGTTTCTCTTTTATTGGCAAATGTGTTGTCTGAAATTATTTTACTCGAGTCAGGTTATCTCTCAATATTTGCATCACATACACGTATTTTAACTTGGCATTGTGATATTTCTCCCCTTTTAACATTTTAAAATTTCCTAATTTTTGGTGTTCCTTTTTTCTTTTTTCTTTTTCTATCTTAAGCAGGAAGCTGATCCTGTACAGCTGAAACCAAAAATAAAAAATATCCCAAAGTGTTTTGCTGCTGAGACTAGTTTCTTCTCTGAATCTGCAGATCTTGCACCTGATGAAAACTCTTTTATCTTGAAGTGTGAAAAAAATAGATATGAGATAGCCTCAGATAAAAGTGTACTCTTTGAGGGTTTATCTGATAAAGTTGATGAGGGCATTATGGCTTCTCAAGAAGTTAGGTCCTCTAATCTATCCGTGGTGGATCCTCTTTGTTCCATTGTTCCTTGCAGTATTTCTTCAGAAAGTGCTGGTGCCACATTGGGTCAGAAAGGAAAAACTGGGGAGGCTACTGCTGGAAACTGCTTTGGCTCATCAGCAGGGCTTGGGAATGAGAGTGTGCATGTTGAATCTATCCATGAGACCAGGCAAGCTCCGCCCACATTTGGTGGTGAATGTTCTGCAGCAAAAGTTCGAAGGCTGTTGACCTCACTTAAAACATATAGTAAAGTATTGCATGAACGTGATTCTATTTTGGGAAGTGAAAGACTTTGTCTTAATCAATCAACCCCTTTCCACTTGGGAGACAACAACAACCGAATTAGATTTTCTGATAAAAGAAATTCTGATATGTCCTTGGCTGTAGGCTCCATACCTGAGTGTACTATTGGTCGAGATATTGAAGTAAATAGGCATACTACCCTTGTGGATAATCCAGATGGAGAAACTATGAATGACAAGAAGAATTATGACGAACATGCAAAAGATAGGGCCGACTTGCAGCACCAGCCTTCCAGGGGAAGAAGCTCACCTCTTATTGTACCAAAAAGGATGCGCCAGCGACTTCAGGCTGCCAGAGTTTTGGATTGTGGTTCACTTAGAAAGGCAAAAGCAGAACACGCTGTTGCACAAGATGTCTCAGTTGCTCTTAACTCAGGCAGCAGTCTTCAGTGGATAGAATCTGTGTGCAATAATCCCTTTGATATGCAAGTACCATCTAGAAAAAGAGTTCATTTCTCAGAAATTGAAGTCAATCTTCACCAAAACGAGGACCTCGCCAAGCGACAATCGTTGCACCAAAAATGTAATACTTCTATTTGATAATAAACATAGCATTTCCTTACCCTTTGTGGATTTCTTGATCTTGAAATATGATTTTTTTAAATATAGGCTCTGCTTCAAGACCTAGCAAAACATTTAAACAAATTCAAGATAGTAAATGGTTTTCCACAATGCACTTCAGGGATCAGAAGAGTTCGATGTTTCAGGGTATAAAGTTTCTGCTTACAGGATTTTCGAGTCGGAAGGAGAAGGAATTTCAGGGACTGATATGGAAATATGGTGGTATTGTTCTGGTTGATATTCCATCTCCTTCAAACAAGGGAAAGAGATGTTCAAGGAATAAGTTCCTGCAGCTTCCTATTGTTCTATGCCCAAAGAAGGTTGGTTGTTAAGCTTTAATTTCTTTTCCTGATCCCTTAAGTTATTCCTTTATGTTTACTTGTTTCAACAAGGATTGAGCTGGTATAATTTCTGATAACTGATATCCTGCCGTGGTTTGGATTGTTTCTGACACATTTATATGGGAATTGGAGGTCAGAGACTTTCTAAGTGTAGATATCTAATAAAATATATTGATGTAAACATGATGATCCAGAAGCATTGATGAGTAAACTGGTTTTCATGGGTCTAAAGCATCCTGCCACTGCCACTCTTAATCAATTGCCAAAATCTAGTATCTAATCTGCTTTATTCCTTGTTTAAGAAAGTTAAACACTTCTTTTTATGAAAGAAATTTAGTATGGCAGTACTATCTCTCAGAAAGTACAAACATCAAAATTTTCTTTTTATGTTGGATAAGATGCTTGTAATAATTTCCAATTAATGCAAGGGCAAAGGGTACAGCTAAAGTTTTCATTCAACCTCAACAGTTAGTCACCTTGGACATTTTTTTTTAGGTTTTAAGGAAATCAATCAAGAAAGAAGAGTTGAGTATGACATCTGAGGAAGCGTTCGTGTGGTAAAAAAGGGAAAATAGAAAGACTACCAAAACTCAAGATACATGTTGCTAAGGCACAAGGTTTAAAACCGTGGAACTTGCAGTAAGTTGGAAATGAGTTGTGGAAAAAACTGGAGTAAACTTCTCTGTAGAATTATACAAGCACCATATGTTTATATACATCTAACTAGAGGGTAAAATAGAAAACTAAATCTTCCTAAAATTGATCCCTATAATTAAGGGATTGTCTATCCTAATTTTCTGTCCTTAATTCCAGGGATACAAACGCTTAATTTTAGGGATACAAATATATATACAGATTACAATCAGCCGGTAAATTAGGTGTTTTCCATTCCCATCTCGGAAATAATTTCCTAAAATGTTACACTGTTGAGATCTTTAGTCAACACATCTGTAAGTTAACCCTTGGTTGATACATATGGTATGCAAATCAACCCATTGTCTAGTTTTTCCTTTGTGAAGTGCCGGTCTACTGCAATGTGTTTTGTTTTGTCATGTTGCATAGGATTTTGTGCAATGCTTATTGTCAACTTGTTATCGCAGTAGAGTTTCATTGGTCCATCCCACTTGATCTTCAAGTTTTCTAGGATAATCTTTAACTTCAGTAGTTCACAAATTCCTTTAGCCATTGCTTTAAATTCTGCTTCAACACTTGATCTTGCCACCACATTATGTTTTTTACTCCTCCAAGTTACAAGATTACCACCTAGGAAACTGTAGTAGCCTAAGGTAGATATTTTATCAGTTATCGAACTTGCCTAATCAGCATCTATATATGCTTCTAATATCGACCTCGAATTTCTTTTGAACAAGATACCTCTCCCAAGATTGGCCTTCAAATAATATAGCTACAAATTACAATTGGCAGCTTCAAATAGTATAGTGGATGTTTAGTGTATTCTTTGGTTCCTTTTCTAATGGTAATAGGCAAATCATAATCCTTAGTTTTAGTTTAGGAGATTCATGCTCATTTTGAGAAATAGAGTCAGAGATTGTAGTTACCTCATTTTCAAAGTTAGGGTCAGGTTCTTGAACTGGCATCGGTTTAGGAGTTGAAACTTTCCTTCTTGAGTACACCTGTAATTACTTCATAGAATCAAGAATAGTATTATCTTTAGTCACAGATTCTGTGTTTGGAATGGGTTCATACTTAGATTCAGTGTTTGACTTGGACTCAGAAGAAATAGGTTTAGACTTAAAAGAATTAATGGGTGAAACTATTTTGGAGGAAACAAGTCAAGCAAAAAGAAGTCTTTATCCTTATCTTCTGTGAATGAAGTCTCTTCCTGAAGATAAGGTTGAGTAAAAACTGGTTTACTTTCTTTAAAAGTGGCTTCTGCAAACACAGAATTTTTTGGTAAGAGGATGATAGCATTTATACCCTTTCTGAGTTGATGAATACCCCACAAATATACACCTAATTGCTCTAGGATCCAACTTCCCCTTATTATGACTGTGAACATGAACAAATGATGTACTACCAAATATCCTAGGTGTGAGGTTGTTTGTGGTATTAAACTTGAGATAGAATTTTGCGAGTAGTTCCATTGGAGTTTTAAATCCCAAAACCCTTGAAGGTAACTTATTTATAATGTGTGTGGCTATGAGAATAGCTTCCCCCTATAGGATTTGGGTACATTTGCTTGAAAAGTAAGGCTCGGGTTTTGGTTAGTAAATGGTTATTTTTCCTTTTTGCCTTTCCATTCTACTGTGGAGTATTAACATAAGATGACTCATGGATATTTTCCTTTTTTTGGAAATAAGTAGATAGAATCTGGTTGAAATAGTCTCTTGCATTATTAAACCTAAATCTCTTGATTTTCATTCCAAATTGATTTTGGATCATGTTTTGGAAGCTTAAAAACACACTATTCACATATGATTTGGATTTAAGTAAAAATATCCAAGAGACCCTGGTACAATCATCTATGAAAGAAACAAACCACCTTGCACTAGAAATGTTAGGAATTATAGAGAGATCCCATATGTCCACTATAAATGAAGTAAAAAAGGAGTAGAACTTCTTTTGTTACTAATTGGAAAAGACACGTCTATCCTTTGCAAGTTCACAAGCATCACAATAAAAATTTTCAACATTTAATCCTTTGAACAAAGAAGGAAACATGTTTTTCAAAGTTCCAAAAGAATGATGTCCAAGAGGAAAATGATAAAGCCAAATATTGTCTTTATTGGGAGATTTTTCAGAAAGAAATGACAAAGGTAAACTATTCTTGATGTTATTTGCATTGTTAGAGGTCTTAAGATTGTATAGTCCATCCTTCTCTTTGGCAATTCCAATTCTCTTCCCCCAACCCTGGGCTTGAAATTCACAATAGAAGGGATAAAAAATCACATTGCAATTCATATCTCTAGTAAGTTTTTGTATAGATATCAAATTAATAGACAATCTAGGAACATGAAGAACATTTTTAAGAACAAATGAGGGATTAATTTGAAGATCTCCTAATCTTGCCATTGTAGTAAGTGAACCATCTGCAACAACAATTTTCTTATTTCTAGGACACAAGGTATATGTACTACACTTTTGTGAAGATGTGTCATATGGCTTGTGGCTCCTGAGTTAATTACCTAAGAACTTTTAATAGACTTATTCGAGACATTTAATCCATGAGAATTAGAGACTTTACTTGAACTAGAGACCTTACCTGCATGTGCCAAGGAACATACACTAGTTGTCTTTTCAAGGGTTCCCGATAGGCTTTTCATTTTCTCAATCTCTTTTCTATCCAACTCTCTTTGTTCCTGAGACTTCTCTTGGTTTGACTCCATTGCAGTCATGTGAGCTTGCCCTTGATTTCTTGGTTGTCCTCCTTTATAACCACATTCTTTGCTTGAAGTTGAAGGTTTTCCATTTAGTTTCCAACAACAATCTCTGGTGTGCCTTGGCCTTTTGCAATAGGTGCACCAAAGATTGTCACGACTTGAGGTTTTAGCCAAATCACCCTTCCTCTTCTCACTGACTGGTAATTGTTCCAAGTTTTGGTTTTTCCCACCATTAGACATCATAGCAGATCCTTCTACATGCAGGCTGTCAAGCATCACTCCTCTTCTGCACTAACAATGGAGATCACCTCATTTAAAGAAGGCAGATCCTCTTTTCCCAAAATTTGGACCTTGACTTGATCAAACTCAACATTAAGTCCAGCAAGAAAATCATAGACTCGATATTTTTCAATAAATTTCTTCAAAGTTGTTGCATCTTCACTACACTTCATTTCTATGCACCGGTAGTGGTCCATCTCTTGCCAAAGATTTTTTAGAAGAATTGCATACTCTGTGATTGACTTATTCCCTTGTTTGAGAGCTACAGTCTTGATCTTTATGTCATAGACTTGAGCGGCATCCCTAACTTTGGAATAGGTTTGCCGAATTGAGTCCCAAATGTCTTTGGCCGTGGACAAAAACATGCAAGTGTCACTAATATTTGGTGTCATAGAATTCCATAGCCATGACATAAACATGGAATCCTTTTCATCCCAAGCCTCAAATTTTGCATTTCTTCTCTTAGGACAAGTACCAAGAAGATGGCTCAATTTTCTTTTCTCGCATAGAAAGGTTTGAACCAACTAAGACCACTTCAAGTGGTTCCTTTCGTTCAATCTGTATACAGCTTGGATATTTGTAGTTCTCCTGTGGTTTGACTAGTTGTCACTTTCTCATATCGGGTAGTAGCAGCAGATTCTGCTATCTTTGACGTGGTTATCTTTCTCGGGACTAAAACAAATCTTGATAGTAAAGGTTTAACCAAGGACGATTCTAGGCAATGCAGACCAAAAAGGAAAAAATAAGACTATGAAAGAAAGGAAAAAATAAGACTATGAAAGACTTAACAAGATTTGGTTATGAAGGCTTGAAATAGAATTCAGCAATGAAGGTTGAAAAAATTTTCTTCCCAAGAAGAGCCTAAAGCTCTGATACCATATAGAAAAAAATGAGAGTATATAGAAAACTTCTCTGTAGAATTATACATGCACTATAGGTTTATATATAACTAAGTAAAGGGTAAAACAAGAAACTAAATCTTCCTAAAATTGATCCCTATAATTAAGGGATTGTCTATTCTAATTTTTTGTCCTTAATTCTAGGGATACAAATATATACAGATTACAACCTGTTGGTAAACTAGGTGTTTTCCCACATGAGTGCATGTAAGGATTAGATCTAATTAAATAAGAACTGAACGTTGCGCATAACATGTTATACTGGTCCTATTTTGATTCAGTTGCAGGCCAACAAGAATGTTGACAGAAAGTGTCATTGTTCCAAATTGGGATGACCCAGAAGCTGCAAAATGCCACTCTATGAGAGCTTTCTTGGGATGTTGTTGTCAATTATCCTAGTGCTATGACAGTTTGTGCCAAGTTGTCTGATGAGGCCAAAAACCTGAAATCACAAGGTCAGAGATAGGTTAGAAGCAAAGGCTGGAGGTATTTTCGGCATTTGTGCTCTGACGTTAAAGTCAATGCTTGGGAAGAGAGAGAAGGAGAGAAATCTTAAGAAGAGAAAGGAAATTGAATGAATATACCTAGTGTGAGGGGGGCTTTTTATACTTGTAGGGTGAAAGTGTTGGGCCCAAATGACCCGAGCTCCAAAAGTTGGGTCTAGGGTTGACAATGCTGGCCCGACTTGACTTGGCAAGTGGAAGTCCAATTTAGGGGTGATGAGTTAGCGTGCTCATGTGCCTTCAGGTGGAAGGTTGGCTGGCCGTGTTGACTTGGACCCTGAGATTTCAAGTCAGCTCACCACGTCAGCTTGGGTCGAAATGACAATTACCTTTGCTTTGTTGATGAGTCACCCTCTAAGGGAAAAAGTCCAAAATGCCCTTATGACCACAAAATCCCTCTAACAATGACAATGTGCAGTTCTTGACCCATGCTATATCAGTGCTGCAAATGTTTCAAAAGATAACCTAACTATTTACCAAACTTTCAACCTTTTATACAAAATTGGGTAGTTTAACCACATTGTTGTTTCTTTCAAAAGTGTGCTTTACCAATGCTAAGACCTATAGTGCCTTTCTCCAAAAGATCAAAGATTTGATTTTGTTTTTAATCCCCAAAAAGATGTTAAGATCCTGGTGACATAGTGGTTTTTGAAGATAATGAATCTCTTTTATCTGTTAATTTCATCACTCTTTATTTATTTATTTGTTTTTGGTTATTAATATTACAATATTTCTTTTGATCTGTTTCTCATCACTACTAAGTGAGCTAGTGATATGAACTTATAATGTTTAATTTGACAATTAAATTATTATAAGTTCATTCTTCATGATCTTGTTGTGATTAGGCATTTTAAATATGACAGAATTCCTTCTTTTTTCTGTCCCAGCTACAAACTACCAAGTTCTTGTATGCATGTGCGGTGAATTCATTAATTCTAAAAGATAAGTGGCTTTCTGATTCAATTGCAGCTGGTACAGCACTATCACCTGGAAAGTAAGTTCTTTAATATCTTAGTTTTACATGCCACTGGATTTGTTAATCTTAGGTTTGGTTTTATGTTAAAATACCAGAATTTCATTACTGCAATGGCCTTTTACAAATGTTAGCTTCATTTGCTAGTATATCGCTTGAACTGGAATCACAAGAATCTGAATTAAAAAAATAATTATAAATGGTTTGAGAATATATTTTAGTGGTATACTGTTTCACAAGCTACAATAGACATGTTAGAGTCTAATATATTATTTCTTGCCGATGTTATTGTTTGGGCATGTTCCTTGTCTTAACACTCAAACATATTTCAGGAAGGATGGTTCCTATGTATGTTTATGAATTAATTTCTGAACCATTGTTCTTGTCACTGTTATTGCGCTATTATTGTGATCATTATTTAATGCAAAGAGGTAAGGAAAACGAAGGAGGGTTATTTTTGTTTGTTTTGTATAGGGAAAAGTAAATTTAACTTTATTCAACTTGAGTTGATTCAAAAATGAAACAACAGAAATGTGAATAACTTAAAATTTGTAGCAACCCAGACCAAATCCAAAGTGATTGAATCAAATTTGATCGAAACCCAAAAAGGCCTAAACTAGAAATCACCCAACCCAACCTGACTAGTCCAATTGCCACCCCTAGTGGAGTAGTGATTTTCTCCTCTAAGCAGAGATATTAATGCTCAAAAGTTGGTAAAGTTATTTGAGAGTGGAATTTTTTTTTTTTATCAACTACTTTTTCCTCGATTCTTTTGTTTACTTTCTTGCTCCTGGGCTCTTTAGCAGGAAATTGAGGGGCTAGCTGGATAGTTATTTCTTTGTACTTCCCTTCTAGTAAATGCTTCTTTAGATTATCAAATTAAAATTCAGTTAAGTTCCAGAGAAAATGCTTCCAAAAGGGAAAAATGTTTGTGATAGTTTCATCACTAGTTTGTTATTTTGAATACACACAAATATAAATTGGAATGATCCCTAATAGGAAAGGAATGATTCAAAGTAAAACTTTAATGTTGCATTTTGTAGTCTCTAATCATGCCCTTTTCTTGTAACCACCATCACATCTCCTTTTTATTTGTAAGGATATTTATATATGTTCATTCCTCTGTATTGTTTCTTTTGAAAACTTTATTTTATTTTATTTTATTTTTTTTGCAGATACATGGTTCTATTGAATCAGAATCAGCCAGACACTAGATTTACAAGAATTGGGAAGCCTGTTTGTCATGATAACAATCTATATATTTTTGATGGAGTTGGAATTATGCTTCATGGGAAGCAGCATTTCTGCACCAAATTTGCTAAAGTAATCCAGGTAAATTGTATTTTCAATTTCAGGCACTTCAATTAGTGTTATACTTCATGCTTTTATTTGATTGTTCTGATTATCTTTTTTGCTAAGGACATTATTGCCGTGACTGACTCACATTAGCTCTGCTCTTGCAAGCTTGTATGCCACTTGTTGATTCTTTAGAGTGTTGGCATGTAAAAGAATTGCTTCAAACACCTCTGGTCTTTTTGATCGAAGCATGTCCATGTTAAAAGAATGATTCATATTTACTAGCATTAGTAGTTTTTAATGATTCTCTTGCTAGATTACATGCTCTTCATTGGTTCTTTAGAAAGGGCCAGGGACATGCATATAAAACAGCTCTTCAAATACCTCTGATCCCCTGGCAAGAGCATATTCATATTTGAAGAATGATACTATGTAGTTTACAATTATTTTCAGTTTTTACACCTGCAAGGCATTTTATGTGTTCATATAGGAGGGTCAAATTACAGTGTATGTAAAATTTGTTCTATTCATGTATCTGTGATCCAACTATTACTTGGTTAATCAATTTCTTTTCTTCCTCTTCGTACAAAAAAAGTAAAAAATAAAAATAAAAACTCTGTGTTTCATTCCTGCAGATCAGACATAATTGTTGACACCTTTTATAAATTTAATTGTTTCATGACTGTCTTATTGTTAGTTCAGCTAAAGCTGAAATTATGTTACATTTTAATGGTTGGCAATTAGTATCAGCTACTCCAAAATGGTTGTGCTCAAGTATAGATATACTAAGAAATAGATGTGAATAATTTGCACAGCCTATTTCAAACATAAATATGGATTGAGAATCTGAGATAACAATAGAGTTGGTTTCAGTTAATGCGGCAGTTTTCTAGTCTTATTTGGATCCTTCAAATTTTGGTTAATTTAAGTTCAAGAACTGGGGCATCTTCAATAAATGAGAAACTATTAAATAATGCTGTAGCCAAAACATTTTTAGGCACAAATGGTATCTGTTTCTTTGGGGTTTGGGTTATCTTTAACAAGGCTACTTTTAAAGATTTCAATTGAATTTGATCACATTGGTGTGCCATATTCCTATGATTCTATCATCGTTATGCTACTGCTATTACTTAAATCTACATTCTATAACTGAAAGCCATTCAAAGTTCAGCTAGTTCCAAAAGCCGCTTTATATTTTATGTGAATACCATGTAATAGTAATCTGAGTGCTGAAAAGCTTGTTCCAACTGTGAATTCTTTGCTACCTGTGCTGCTGCCGAGCTTCTAGGACAATGCTTTGTTATTGGTTTTGTTGTAATCAATTTTGACAGATCTTTTTTCCTTGCATTTTTATTGTCAAAATAGTCTTACATTATTATCATTTTCTTTTTGGGTTGGATAGCATGGAGGTGGACGCGTGTTCAAAACTCTAATGTGGTTAGCTCAAAATCTCGATACTGAAAAAATATCTTTGGCAGTTATTGTTTCTGAGGAGGAGAATAGGGCTTCTCGTCACCTAAGGCACTGTGCTTCTGAGAGAAATATACCCATGATGGTCAGTGCTTTTTTGCCTCTTCCATCTTCATTGTAAATTTATAATCGTGTGTATGAGTGTCTGTGAATCTGGGAAGCAAAAGGGGGGTAGAGTAGGTGTTGAATTTATGGACTGATTCAAAGATTATATTAAGTTCTCACAAGGCACCACCTTTTGCAAAAAGATGTTCAGCTATCCCAGTCCACTCCTCCCCCTCCTTTCTCCCCTCTTTTAATTTTCTGTTTTACACCTTTGTAAATGGAGCCATCTATTTATTGCAGCCAAGTAGCTGGATTGTGAGGAGCTTGTACTCAGGGAAGCTCCTTCCTTTTGTTGAAAAGAAGCATACCACTTTGCATGCTGTCATGGGTGCTGAATTTTCGGTCTCTGATACTTGGAGTCAAGAAATTTGAACTATGCTTGAGGTAAGTTTGAAAGTACAATAATCATTCATTGGTTCAAGAGTCTGTATTCTGAATCAGATTCGAATAATTTGAGTTGTATATCTCACAGCATTTACCCTTTTTCCAGGGGTTCAGTTTGCCAAAAAAAAAAAAATGGAAAAGCATATTGAGTCAAAGGACAGCTTTTCCAGTTGAGTATGGTTTCCATGGAATGGAAGGAGAGGTAACTAATGGTTCATTTTCTTTTCCCCTTGGATGGCCATATTTCTCTCCCTAGGTCGGTAACTACCAACTTGAGGTTCATAAAATAATAGATGTAAATTACATATCTCCTCCAATTAGTTTTTACATTGAGAATATACTATCTGCTTGCACCTTAAAAGTATGTTTTTACCCTTCTGATTTGGAATATTTTAGAAATATTAAGGTGAAAGTGTATCTTTGTTATAACCTGTTGTAATGTGCCTAGTTTATATTGATAAAGACCAAGGCAACAGAATTTGTGAATAGGTGAGTATAAAACAATAGAGATAACAATCTAATTAATTTTAGAACAGTATTTATGATAAAATGCATTAGAACTAGCTTAAAAGTAACCGTTTCATCCTTAGATGAATTGGCCTCGGGCTGATGTTATGTTTTCTCAATCTCTCTAGGTTGCTGTGAGACTTGATTTAATCAGTGCTAAGAACATGAAATGCACATGCATGATGACTGCAGCCGCCAACACTCTAATACAGTTAAATATTTGGATTACCGAGTACCGATTTCAATTGCTGAGCTGGGACAGCAGAGTAGCTTCAGTGGATATGGCCTCATGTATTCAAACCTAGTTGAAGTTGGGAAAACAGATGGTTTGGATATGGCAAGAGCGCCTGTTGCATCCTTTGATAAGAGGAGTTATAACTTTCGGAGAAGCTGCCAGAGAAGTCCTTGATTGCTTATATTGGGCTGTTTGTTATCAAATTGCTCTCTGCTGTGGTTATGCTGGAAAGTTAGTGTGAGCTGGTTCTCTCATTTACTCTGTCTATCTAGCTGTAAAGAATATGACAGGTATTGTTAAGAATTTGTGTTGACCTACATTGTTGATCGCGTTTTTATTTGTGAAGCAAATGCTGTATGCAGCAGTTCCCATTATGTACAATTTGGTTAATTTATAAGTGCTTTTATGATCGAATTTGGGTTTTGATGATCGAACTTGTTCTCTAACATGCTTAGTTCACATCTCACAAAGATAATATTCCTTTGAACCAAATACCTCTGAGTGCAAACTACTTGTGCAAAAATAGAATATTGCAGATGAATTTGTCACTAGGAAATCTGAATCAAATTCTACAAAAGGCTGATCAAACCTGAGCTGAGCAACAACAGCATGTATTAACTAGAGTGTACAAGCCACTAGTGTTTTAACTGCTACTATATAAAAGAATTTCTTGCGTAACAAACATAAATTATTTTGTGAATCTTTCACTTTCCACTTCCCTTTCCATCATTCTTCTAATCAGTGATTTCAGCACTGATATTATCTGTTTCTGCCCACTTTGATGCTGTAAAAACTTCCTACACCCTGTTCTTGGCTTCAGCTCGAGGCATATCCATGTCCATCCATCCTCGGTGGGGAGTGTTCATGACCAAGGAAGGGAACTTCAGCGTCACTTGGTGTAACAGATTGTGGGAAACAATGGATCTGTGACTGACTTGAGCTCTGGTTCAGTTGTCCTGTCACTTTGATGACATTTGGCTTAGAGTTGGCTGGTGTGGGGGCAGCAGGAAAATCTCGAACATTAATCTCCATCTTATTGAAGGTGAGATTTGCAATAGTTCGATCAATGGTGTTGGTCTCTGATTCAGTTGTTCCCTTTTTTGCAGACCTGAATATCAAAATTATCTTCCGATCAAGAACACATTTGAATTGTCAAAACAGGGACAAGAACAGCAGAACAAGAAAATTTTAACTGCAAAACATTTTTAGAATAGCGTTGAAAACCAATGATATTATATGTTATTGTCATGATGTCATCAATCATCAAATTTGAATGTGTAAAATAAATATTAAACAGATTCATAAGGTTCAAGAGGGGAAACCAGTCTGAACTATAGATTGTTTCCATTATCAGACTCTTCGGAAGTTACTAGCATGATAGAGAAAGTTCTAAGAGCTGTTTCTGGAAGACGATGCAATTTCATGGAGCAATGCATAGCCCCAAAGACAGGATAATTTGGGCTAAAATAAGCAGACCCTAATCATTTTGGCTTTAATTTGTAGGAAAGCAACATTATAAGTAACACTTTCAAGACTAGAAAACAATAGAAGTGAGTCAAATGTAAGAAAAGTAGAGAGTAAAAGTGCTGCAAATTGTAGTAAAAGTTAACCTCATTTTCTCCTCAGAGATTGTCCACTTTGGAGAATGATTTCCCACACGGACGTTTCCATGTTGGTTGAGTGCTACAGGATTCTGTTTTGAGTTCTTGGCCAGACGGTAGAATGCATCTCGAAAGCAAATTCTAGTCTTATCAGACAACTGAACAAATTGAAATACAGAATTTTTAATAAGCAGTTACTCTTACTTTTTCACTGTGAACAAAAGCACTTATTTTATTTTAGTCGTTCACCTGAGCCATCACCATTTCAAGCTCCAGCAAAACAGATTCTTCGAGCGATATTTCCTCGGAGATAAATCCATTTGCACTTTTCTCTTGGGGAGGGACCCAGATTTTGGTAAGAGATGCCTTGTGCAAATATTACATTGATTAGTTAATCTTATAACCTCAGAAACTACATTAAATTTTCACAATATAAGCATACGGTGATGCAATGTATGTATGGCAGATAACCACAGAGGAGCTTAGAAACCAAGTATCCAACTGATTCATCAAAGCAGCATTGGATTCCTTGAAGGAGTTTAACCTCACAAAACTTCTTCCAAGAAGAAAGAATCCAAACTGCAATTGGACTAAGAAAGCATATCCCACCATAAAGGACTGCAACAATCTGATAATAAGCATTTGGGTTGTATGCAGTGTTCTTGAATTATAAAAAATAACTTAATAATATTAAGATAGTTCACGCTTCCCAAAACATGTTCATTGTTTGAAATACTTTAACAATCTTAACTTACATCAGTTAGAAGATAATCAGCAGGCATCCTCCTACCCCGATATTCAGGAGAAAAGCCAAATAAATTGTGAAGATCTTCACTCCCAGGTAGATCTTCCAGTAGGGAATTCCTGCAACTTGGAGAAACCAGAACAAGTGAAGACTGGAAAACAAGAGAGCGCTAACATTTGAGCTGAAAAGTAAAACATCCAAATGGCAGGGCAAATTTAAACATCCCATGGAATACTGAAAGGTTAAACTTTGTTATTAAAAAAAAAAAAAAAAACTTTAATGTACAAAAGAAGGATAAAAGAGGTCATCAAAGAAAACAGGCAACATCACCACAAGTGATCACTCAAGATCACCTACAAGAGATATAAGCTTCTCTTTGTTATAACCATTGGTGATGGTGGCTGCCAACTTCAATGATTAATCTTTGATAGAATATATTGACCAAACCTTTTGCACCCTTCAATTTCCATGGGATGTCTGAGCATGCTGTTATTCCACATAACAAACTAAAGCATTCTCAAAACTACTTAATTTCCTACAGGCAAAAAATATTAAACAAAAAAAAAAAAAAAGAAAACAAGTATCTTAATGCCATAAGGTATGCACGTACAAGAATATGTCATCCATTTGCTCGAATCTGGCAAAATCATCAAGCTGGTAATCTGGCTGGGGACGTGAAAACGTAGTCTGATTGAGAGACTCATCTGACAATCCTCCACATATACTTGAACAGCAAGATGGATCCTTGACATTGGTTGATGATTCGATTTCAGCATCATTACATAATTTACCATTGAACCTCAGTCCTTCATGAGTAAAATTTGCATCTGTAATGAAGCATTTGTTAAATGACTCAAAATGTCCAGGAGCAGTTAATCCCCATTCTGACCAACTTTCTGGTGAAGGAAGCCCATCTACTAATTGTTGACCCATGGGGACAACAAGATCCTCCGTTCCATCACCAAAATACCACTCCATGTGCTTTGATCTGAGCAGCATAACAAGATGTTACAAAAGAAGCAAAAAAAAAAAAAGAAAAGAAAAGAAAAACCAAATCTAAAGAAAAATCCAGAAAGGAAATTCAGAAAAGGTTATATAACTTTCCCCTTAAATTTCATGTTTTGTTCCTTGCCCTGAAAATTAAAAAGAACTCTCAAAGATGACATCAATATATTTGGCTTAAAAAACAACACCAACATATTCTTACATGAAAAAGTGAGAGATCCCCCATAAGTAGGTCTTCCAAATGCCAAACTCAAAATATAAAATCAAGCCTCCCCCAACAAAATAATAATAATAATAATAAAAAAAAATTGAAGACTCATTTTGAATATTAGCAGACTTAAATCTCAGTAACAAGGGAGCTTTAATTATTGCTACATAATTAAATCCTTCAATATTTTCAATTTAGCTAAACAAATTGTTCTTCAAGCTTCCACCACTTAATTCAACTAGGCCAAAAGTTCAATTTTTCTCAGTACAAAAACAGCTTTAATACTCTCCAACACCAAATAATTAACTGTAAATCAAAGATATAAGCTTGATGATATAATCATACTCTTCCATACTTTTCCGTCACAAGCAAACAAAATCATGAATCAAAAGAAACTTTGAGACCAAAAAGTTATCAAGATAAACTCAAGTCCTTATCTATAACAAGTATATACGTACTGAAAACTTCAAAATTTTCCAACAAAGCTGAACCGAAAATCCTTATTTTAATAAGTACCCTCTAATATGTTCAAAATTTTACCACGAACTAAAATTCTTATTTCGAATTATTTAGTACAGAAAAGTTCAAAAATTTCCAATAAAAATGAGCTAAACTCCTTATTTTTAGTACATACCTTCTAAAAGAATTTCCAACCAAGATGAACCATGGTTTTTTTTTTTTTTAAATACACTAAAAACGTTTCAAAAATTTCCAGTAAAGATTAACTAAAGTTCTTATGCAGATAAAGATTACATACACGACAAAAAAAGTTTCCAATCTTTTCCCACAAACATACATTTAAAAAATTAGAAACATATCAGTCAATCAAACAGAAGAAAAAATATAAAGGAAACAAACCTTGTAGTGAGTTAGCTAAGAAGATGAAGACAACCCAGTTCCCGATTCACAAAACGAAAGCAGTCTAGACGCAGAAAAGATATTCTAATTGGATTTAGAAGCTAAGCATCTGTTTTTTATTTTAGCTTTTAGAAAACAGAGGCGGCTGGGGTATTTGCAGCCTTTCATTTCATTTGTTTTCTAATACTACCAAAGGTTTTTCTTTTTTTTTTTTCTTCTTTGTAAATTTTAGCAAGCAAGTTGCAATGAAAGAGAAATGTAGATTGATAAGAAGAAAAGAAAAGATTTACATTTTTGCTTACAAGAAAGGCGAAAGCCAAGCTGGTGTAAATTTGTGGCTGAGAATTGTTGGAATGGATTAGTGGTTGAGGTTTCTCCATCTAAAACTGCATTCTCATTGGTCCACGTGTAAAGAATATATTCCAACTTCTAATTTCCAATCAGATTTGTTGATTCATGCCATTGAAACGTGGCTATTTTGGTCTTTTGGGACATGAGACGTAGTAAGCTAAGGAAGACATCATGTATCAGTCTATCAGAGAAGTTGAATAGATTTTGAAACGATGACACGTGGCAACAAGCCCACGCAGTTTTAAACACGGGGCAGAAAGCAGGAAAAGGACAGAACGACTGTATCAAAGGCAAAAATGGAAATGTGAAAGGAATGGGACTAAGAACATTTGCTCGGCTCGACCTCCACTAGATGTCATAAGATGAGAGCCACATGATTCAGGGCATGCAGTACTATTTCCTTTTAGTATTTTTTTTCTCTCTCACAATATTTTTGTTCATTATGTTTCAATAATGATTGGAGTTTTATCTTTTCTTTTATCTTTTTTTTTTTTTTCATCCCTACACTTTTGCAAGTAAAGCTGAACTATATGTATTCATTTGACCAGATGGATATCTGTAAAAATATTATTAAAAAAATCGATCTTATTCGTCCATTAAAATTCGTTTGATTCATTAATGTTAAATGTTATTAAAATACTTGAAATATTTAGATTACAACTTTAACACTTATATATTTTTTAAAATTAAAATTAAATAAAAATACTTTTATTAGTAATAATATTCGGATTAAACCTAAACTTAAAAATTTTATCCAAAGTTTTGGTTAAGTCAAATCAGATCCGTGGGTTTTGACGGATGGCTCGACCAATCATCCATGGACAAGTCTAATACGCCTATTGAATAAGTCCTTCGTCCTTTTCTTCAGGAAGTTGGAAGTTAGTTATTTATGTTCTTATTAATTATTAACTTGTTATTATGTGTGGAAGTGCATTTGCACATAATGTAGGTTGCATTTATTTAGGCTTTTAATATTTAGTTGTTGCATTTATTTAATAGTTAGTTGCTATGTTTCTGTTGCTAATATGCCTATTTAAAGGTTATTGGTTAGTGAATAAAACTGCAAAAAAATTAGTATTTTCCTGCTTTTTGTTTACTGTCGTTCATAGTAGTTCTTTGTTTCTTTTAAAAGCCTTTACTTTTTGACAGTGGCATTACAGTTAGGTGAGAATTTTTTTAGAGTCAAAAGTGAGAACATAGCAGCAAGCTTGTTCTAATTTTTCCTTGCAGCAGCAGTAGCAAACAATGGCCTCCGATAATTTTGTGCAACTAGCAATTCCATGTTTTGATGGTCACTGTGGCCATTGGTGCATGTTAATGGAGAACTTCTTGAGGTCCAAAGAGTATTGGTAGGTGGTTGATTTTGGTGTAGCAGAACAGTAGCTGGTGTTAAATTGACTGATGCATAAAAGGCAGATTTAGAGGCGTTTAAGTTAAAAGATTCGAAGGGAAAGAACTATCTTTTCCAGCAATTGATCACTCTATCTTGGAAACAATTCTTTCTAAGGACACGTCCAAACAGATACGGGACTCTATGAAGAAGAAATAACAAGGGACAACAAAATTAAGAAGGTAGCAGCTTCAAGCATTTCGTTCGGAATTCGAAACGCTTCGGATGAAACTGGGAGAGTTTGTTTCTGATTTTTTCTCAAGAACAATGTCGATTATCAACAAAATACGTGTTCATGGCGGGAAGATGGAGGACGTGACTGTTGTTGAGAAAATTCTTCTTTCCATGACGCTGAAATTCAATTATACGGCTTGCTCCATCGAAGAATCAAAGAACCTTAATAATTTTTCGATTGATGAATTACAAGGTTCATTGCTGGTCCATGAGCAAAAAATAAATCAGCAGGAGAAACAGGAGCAAGCATTGGAGGCTTCAACTGACAACCAATTTTCTCCAACAAGTACAGCAGATAGAGGACGAGGCAGAGGAAAAGGAAACAAGGATCGCAATAAAAACCAACAACAAAAATCTGATGATAATCAATCTTATGATTATCAAGGAAAAGGAAGAGGAAGAGGTCTAGGCGGTCACCATTCAACAAATTACAAGTCAAGGTCAGTAGACAAGTCCAATGTTGAATGCTATCGATATCATAGGTATGGCCTTTATCAATCTGAATGTTGCACTAATTTGTCTAAAGAACGTGGTGAAAAGTGTAATTTTGTAGAGAAGGAAGAAGAAGTGTCTTTGTTAATTGTTGGTCACGCCAAGGAGGAGACCCATCAGAATTTGTCGTATTGAGACATATGTTGCAATAATCATATGTGTGGAGATAAGTCTGCGTTTTCTGATTTGGACGAATCCTTTCGAGACAGTGTGAAGTTTGGTGACAATTCTAAAGTCTTTGTTCTAGGAAAAGGAAAGGTAGAAATCCAAACAAAAGGGAATTCTATTCAGAATATGTCTAGTGTTCTTTTTGTTCTAGACTTAAAAACAGATTTCCTGAGCGTTAGGCAATTACAAGAAAAAAGGGTATAAAATCTCTGTCGAGGGTGGAGTTTGCAGAAATGAAGATGAAAAATTGGGTTTAATTGCTCAATTTAATATGACAGCCAACCGAATGTTTACATTATATCTCCATAACATTGCTCATTCATGCTTTTCTACAAGACTAAAGGAAGATGCTTGGTTATGGCATATTCATTATGGGCATCTAAACTTTGGTGGACTCAAGACACTACAGCAGAAAAATATGGTGACTGGTCATCCTGAAATTGAATTCACTGGAAATGTGTGTGAAGAATGTATTGTTAACAAACAACATCGTAACCAATTTCCATAAGGAAAATCATAGAGAGCAAAGAATGCATAGGAGTTGGTTCAATCCAACATATGTAGGCCCATGCATCCATCTTCTAATGGGGTAAAAGATACGTAATTACCGTCATTGATGATTATAATCGAAAAACTTGGGTCTGTTTTCTGTGGGAGAAATCTGAAGCTTTTGCAACCTTTAAGCACTTTATAGTACATGTAGAGAAAGAGGCTGGAAACCAGTAAAAGTTCTTTGCACGACGCGGTTGAGAAGTTCATAACTTAAAAATTCATAAATTCATCGTTAAACATAATTCAAGGAGTTATCATCAATTTTTGTTATTTATGTACGATTAATTACTTACTAAATTTATCTTATTTTAAAAAGTAATTTTAAATTTGACTTAAGTATCTTTAAAAGATAGATTCGTATTTACGAAATTAAAATTAAGATTCAAGAGTATAATTATGTGTAAGAAAAATTATAGCACCCTCACAATGTTCATCGGAGGATAATAATAGTTTAATTTCGTACTATCCAAGCTTTAAAATATTTTTGTATTTTTACCAAATAATTTAATTATTAAAAATTTGTCTTAAAATATCTATTAATAGCAATTTAAAACATCTTTAATAATCTTCTTCAATTTTATAAAAGGGATTATTGAAGGCGTTTTGGCATTAAAGGTGTTTTTGACCAAAACACCATCAATAATCCCTTTTATAAAATTAGACAGAATGATTCAAGATGTTTTCTGTCAAAAATACCTTCAATAATTACCTCCATTTTTTTTAAAATTATTTAAAGCATTTTTGCCTAGAAAACACCTTGAATAATCCCACCCTCATTTTTTTTTATTATTCAAGGCGTTCAAAAATGCCTTGAATAATCCCTAAAAAAATTATACAACAGTGGGATTATTCAAGGCATTTTCTGGGTAAAAACGTTTTGAATAATCTCAAAAAAATTAGTAAAAAAATAAATGGATTATTAAAGGCGTTTTTGACCAAAAACTCATTGAATAATCCCTTTCAAATTTTTTATGGGATTATTCAAGATATTTTTGTCCAACAAACACCTTGAATAATCTCTTACGGCAAAAAAGCCTTGAATAATCTCTTACGACAAAAAAATCTTGAATAATCCCCTCTAAATTTTTTATGAGATTATTCAAGACATTTTTATCCAACAAACACCTTGAATAATCTCTTACGACAAATTTAATGGGATTACTCAATGCGTTTTACCAAAAAAAAAAATGCCTTAAGTGATCATTTTTAAAATTTATTCTTTTTTCTTAAAACTTTAGAAACCCAAACAGTTAATACAGTGAACGATAAATCCAAAGCTGCATTGCAACCAACCCTTAAACCATCAACCATTTAGTTTGCGTTTTAGTTTCTTCATCTCTCTCATCACCGTTGACCATCAAAAACTCAACACCATCGCACCTATCTTTTTACCAGTATGTGTGCATTTTATCTATGTGTTATATTATTTATATTTTTCAATATAGGTATGTTTTTTATTCGTTCCTTACTATATATATAAATTTTTGTTTGTTTTTTTATTAATTCCACCGTCAACTTAGTCGCCCAACCTCTCTTCATTGCATGTATGATGTTTCTTTGTAATTTAGTTTAAATATTGTGGTTTGCTGAATGGTATTGTGGTAATTTTGAGTATATTTTTTACTCATAATTTTTTTGCATGGAACTCTTATTTAAGGTAAGATTCATAGTATGACTTATACCCATAAAATATTATTGGTTTGAAGATGTTTTACATATATTAGTTTAGTAACTGTAGTATGATATTGGTTGTATTTTATTACTATGTAAAATTTAGAGAGACCGTTTGAAGTATTTCATATAATTATGATCAAAATCACAGGTATTATGAAATCAGAAGAACATATGTCTCATGTTACTAAACATAAAGAAGACACACTTATAGTGAAAAAAAAAAAAAAAAGCAAGGGGATGAAATAAACAAATTTAAACGACTAACATAAAAATTCACGTCGACTTTAATCAAAGCGGGCAATCTGTGTTTGATGGAGCTATCATGTTGGCTAGTCGAATTGGGTAGTCTGTCGTGGTATTTTTCTTCAAGTATTTCATAAAATTTATTAAATGATTATTTAAATGAAATTCAATATGTTCATACTAATT